TTCAGACGTGGCAAAACAGGAACGGTGGTTAATCGACCCCGGTGGCAACTTTTTTTTAGTATCTTGTCAATTATGTCGTTAGGGCCGCATGCTTTTCCTGGAAAAAGTACTGAGTATATGTTACCTGTCCTTAGTTTGATAATCCCCTCACCAACGGTTATGAGCCTTGTGACGTCTCTCCTTCCTCTTGGAATGTAAACGTAATCGAAGAACGCACCAAGTAGTTGGATGGCCGGCAAAAAGGGTTGTCTTTTTCGTCGCTATCAGTCACTATCACTTTATTAATAAGTGAAAGAGTTTGTGTGTGGCATCTGTTTTTAATTCGTTTGATAAAGTGTTAAAAAGATCACCGTCCTTCGTCAGTCACTACAATAAGTTCTGCAATTTCGCTCCCTAATGAATATATTGAAAAGCGGCTAGCTCTGTTGTAATGTGTTTTTAAAGACGGTTTAACATCAATTTGTTGCCTAGGAATTCGTGTGGCAGTAGTCAGACGTTTTAATAATCCGGTGGGCGGCCAGGTGAAAAGGTTATTCACTGCTAGTTACCGCGACAGGATACGCGAGTGCCCAAAAAGCTATCAATAGCTTTTCTTAATAGGAAGGAAGTTGAAGGGGAAGATAAACCTGTGGATAGCGATGCTTCCCGTCCTTAAATGAGTCCAATGCTTCGCAGGAGCCTGTGCCTTCGCCCAGTTCCAGTAAGAAGGGCAGGTTATCCGACAAAACTCGGCGATCGACCCCGACTGGCATATGTTTTTGGAAACGGCTATGTTAGGGACGTCCAAAATTCCTTTTTTGCCACGTGGGTTAGATGTCACTGTGCCAGCACGCGAAAATTCAGTTGGTCCGCGTGCCTTAGATAAATATCGTTTGTATTTACAACTTACCTCTCCCCAGCAGTGTGTTTACAGTATAAAGCCAGAGAACAAAGAGCAAAACTAAAGCAGCATACCTAGATTACTTGCAAGAAAACGACCTGTCGAGAAGTTTATAAAGTGCACATCGGTCGGCCTCATGTCAACCGAGTGAAGGCGGAACCCTACGACCTTTATGCCCTTTAGGTTTATGAGAGCAATTAGGTCGCAGTACTCAGGATAGCTATACCCTCCATTACGTCATTCAAGACGCTACGTTTTGTATTTGCAGAGTACCAACTAATCGCACGCTTTCAAGTATTATCCACTTATAACGCGATATTCAAAATTTCACTCTGCAATAGGAGTAATTCGGACTTTTTGCAGTGCTCGAGGTGGATATCCCGGTGTAAGAGTTTTAAGTTGCGAATGGCTGGATTTAGCAACCATTTGCTTTCTTTAGAAATAATGTTTCGGGAGCAGCTGCGAGTTTTGCGATTATTTCGCCTTTTGTTTCAGAACAATAGGTTGTGGTCTTTGAGCGGGTTGCGGTGCATAGAATTTATAACGTCATTACTGCATGAAAGATCGACTGCTTTACTACTTTTTTGTGTTGCGGGTCTATGGCGTGTCGAGCGCTGCGCTGTTTCAGGGCTGGCAATGGGTAGCTCAGAGGAAAGACCTCGAGGGTCGGTCTTGATGGAATGGAAAGTTTGAATAGTGAACTAACATAAACTATTTTGGCATCATCATAGAGAACGGACTCTCTTGGCGCAACCATATTGAACATGTCACGAAAAAGGCTGAACTAGAGATCAAACTACTATACCCACTTATTTGACAGAGGAGTCTGATCTTCAAACCAACAAGTTTTAACTTTATTACACCGCTATTAGACCAAAGGTGACATATGCATCTATGGCGTGGCCATATTGTTCGCCCTTCCATTATTCGGCAATTTAGGTTATACAATACCTTATAACGAAAACTATTTTAGGTGCGCCAGGGTTTGTCCCAAGCTTTATCCTTCCTCGCGAATTAAATATTGAAAGACAGTTTTTTTAGCATACAGTCAAAGAGAATTTGGCTCTTTTTATTTTTCTATTTGTTCAAGAATTTAATGATACAAGTTTATACAAAGAATACAGGAGACATCGACATCAACTCCGCTGCGTCTAATGCTCCGGTGACCACCTAATTAACCTGATTACTCAACCATCCAATGTTACACCGCAAAAATTAGATTAAGCAAAATTGAGGCCTCACAGAAAGAGAGGTTTGACTGTAGCATGTCAGAGTTAGAATATAAGAGAGCCAATCAAAAATTTGCCTCTATATAGACTATATATTATAACCTGTTTAAAAGCTAGAGTATTGGTAACTTGTTTAAATGAGTAAAAGTCAGGATTTTTTTATTTTAATATACTTTGTTTGCATATAATTCATACATGCTGCATATTCGCCAAGTCAACTTTTTAATAATCTTTTAACTTTTTTTTTGTAAGGTTATTACACCACCTAAACTTTTTGGTTTAAGCTTTGTAATGGTAAATAATTAGAATGAGGGATAGAAATTTACCTCTAAATTACCTTAGCACGTACAACCGGAAAACTCTGCTTTTTGGGTGAGCGCATTGTTTCCGGTCAGCATACACTCACTTGCTCGCGGGCACACTCTTTTAAAATAATTTAAAAGTAATTAGTCAAGTTACTTAGCAAACAATCTTATTTTCAATATGTTCACTGCGCATTTTATCTTTAAATAAAGCTCACTTAACATAAGCACACATTACAACTGCGTTGATAACTTGACCAAAAAAAAGTTAATCTGACAAACGAAGCTTTTATAATAATCTTCATTTTAAGTTAAGCGTATTTAGTACTTAGTTTTGCTATTTACGATATTTATCAATATCTCCTTATTTAATTTGACAAAAAGATTGTTGTTTTAAAATATATATAAATTAGAACAATATTAAAAAAATCCGCCCACTCTGTAAAGTGTTATTAAACTAACCTGTATTGATAGAATTCGCCATTCCCTGTTAGTTCAATATATAAGATTTCTGTCCGTAGATGAAAAACTTAAGTAGGAATTCTACCATAGAAAGTTTACAAATATTATTTTTTTAAATTTAAAACTTATTCCTACATTGGCCTTTTTTAAGTTATGGTTCTCTTATTACCTTCTCCAATTCACCAAAATATAGTTTTAAAGATTGTATTATAAAGTAAAAAAATTATATTTTTAAAGGCAGTGTATAAAGAAGCTAAGTTAGTATAAACCCGATCTACGTTTAGTGTGAATAAACCACTAAACTCAGACTTAATCTGAATATTAATTACAAGGCCGTTTCGAACGTTTACTTATCCACAGTATACCTATGAGTTAACAAATACGATGTTACAGCAAGCTAAGTTTATTAATAAGTTTTTTAAAGTTACCCAGCTAAAAATTTTTAGACCGAGAGCTTACATATCTTTTATAAGGCTCTATGATCTAGTAATATAGCCCTAAAGCTGATTTTGACGAATGCCTAAAGTTAAAAGTAGACAAAAATTAAAGATGTAGCTGAAGAAAAAAAAACCTGCATGATCTCTCTGAAAAAGTTCTACAAAGGATTTACATTAGTGGATGAATACAGTTTAAGTTGATCTAAATTGAAATAAAAAATCCTGATCCAGATATTCCACCACGGTAAAAGTAAACGCGCAACTTAACGGAGAAGGTACATATCAAAGTATTGAACCCCTCCCTCCTGTAAGACCAGTGCTATTAGCATAAACTATTAACTTAAGTTGTGCTGAACAACTGCACAGTTGCTCTGGAGCCAAGCATCAAATACTTTACTGTGCAATTAGCATAGTAAAATTCTAAGTATAAATTGTGTTTCTATAATCTTTTACAAGTTATAAGCGATAGAAGAGGTAAAGATATTTTAGTAAAAAGAGCGTGAAGTAACAATTAAAAAATACAAAGGAATCAATTTTTTTTTTTTTTTGCATTTTCAGGTTTGCAGGCACCGTACGGGCTGTAATAAAATAATTAAGTATAATAATCTTCTGGCACTAATTAAGATCTTATTAGTGAAATGCAGTGTCATGACAGCTTAAGTCCTAGTATCATATTTTATAAGGATTTTTTTTTCAGAAAGAGGCTGACGGTAATTAATAGGACTGTCACAGCTTTCCTATCTTATATCTACACGATACTCTAGCATAATGAATAGCTTTCACGGCTTAGAAACTTAACTAAATTACAAATTAAAGTTAATATGAAAAACTTTACATAAAATAGCACTATATGTGGCTTGAGTTATTACGAAGACTAAAAGAATCTTAATGATAGTAAGTTTGCGTTAAGCATAAATAATATTAGCTTAAAATCTAGCCAAGTTAGTTTACTTGGATTCACAATAAACATGAAAAAGTATTTAAAATTGAAATTACTTCTGATCAGGAACTGGTATAAAACTATAAATAATTATCTCTAGTTGGGAGTTTGCTTGTAACAAGTGTGCTATTGCATGCCTTAATTAAAGTTTTGCATTTTCTTATACACTTTAATTATATAAAATTTATATTCCCCTTATGATTTGTACGGCATGGTTTAAATTATTTTGTAAACATGTATACTTTTAAAGTCGTCATACATAACGAGTTCACAGACTAAAATAAGAAGTTGTGACATTGTTAAAGCTCGGTTTTATGGAACCCCTGTTTACTAATTAAGTGGACTAAGATTTCATTTTCAGCAACAACTCGTGTTTAATCTTTTTTAATACGTTGATGTATTAATTACAATCAACTTGGAAATACACCCCTGTTACTTTCCTACATATTATAAATTAGCTGAAATAATTTAAAAATCAATCACCTGTTGCTTCAGTTAAGGAAATGTTTGGTAAAAATCCTACGTAGGCCTTTGCAGTAGTGGCTATTTGGACGCTTCTTTTTAAGCCTTTGGTTTTTTTAATTTTTATATGTTAGGTTCTTTTACGGTGTAAGCGTATAAGAAAAAACAGTAGGGGGCCTAAAATAAACGCTCAAATTGGAGGGCTAAGCTAAATATTCGTTAGTTATAGCATATTCACACTTTTATTTTCACAAGTATAATTCGAACATTTAGTTATCATAATACCGTGGGGCGCCCTTTAAAAATCCTGACGTAAACAGTAAACAGCATTTTATACATTAGGAGAGGCGTTGGACCACTATTTTCCCTATAAAAATTAAAAAAAATATGACTGAAAAGCTCCGTCTTTAAATTCATTTAACGCCTTGGTGATACCGTTATCATTGGTAGAATTGGTAGACTTTTTTAGAGATGCGTTTCCGACTAAATCAAAATTTGCATGTACATTATGGTAACATTCCGGAAGCTGTTTTGTCTTACCCGGTTTTAAATCAAAGAATATTATATCATTTGAGGGGGTAGACGAAAAAGTTTTCTTAGTTAAAATAATGGGGTCCTGATGGTAAGGTGTGCTCCCTGTGTTTTTAGTACGTTCAGTTACAAGTTCTGTTGTATTATATTTAAAACTTGGATCACATTCGCTCGAGGGCGAATGTCTAATTTTTTTGTTATGAATGTTATTACTTGCAGTTGATAGTATTTGCTTTCTATTCTGACACCACTTAGCAACATTAATTAGTGGTAGTTTATATTTTTCGGCCACGTGCTCGACAGCAGATTTAATAGAATTTTCGCGAGCGACATCTACAGCGTGTATTATTTCTGCTTTAAAAGACACTTCATAACTTCTTCGTTTAGCTAGACCTCTGTTCTTGCTCCGTCTGTCTGTTTTTCGAAGGTATTTGTTAGTTCCTGCTTTAATTTTGTTTTATAAATGATTTAAATTTATTAGAAATATAATATTACCCGCGATGTACTTTCTTTTTGTAATTTTTTCATTGCTTGAAGGAAATATAGTGTAACTAGTTTCGCAACATTTATGGTCATTCCATTCCATATAGTAATCATAAAGTTCCTTATTGAATTCATTGCCTTTAACTTTTCTTTTCTCTTCTTCTTGTATTATATTAGCGTTTAAAACATTATTGTAGTTTGCTAGATTTATTCCTTTAGTATGGAGGTCGGAACTCACTTGCTTAAAGCTCGGCTCTGTACACCTAACATCAGAATAGATTAGCAAGTTAGCTCCAACAAAATTGTTTAATGGGTCATATTTTTTCTCTTTAAAAAACTGAGAATGAATGTCATTTTCTCTAATATTTACCGTACACTCTTGTTCTTGCCTAGTTCGTTGAGTGGTTCCTTTATAAAGATAAGAACCTTGCATATTTTCGGAGAGCTTTAATGTATGAGGAAAGATATTTAAGTTACTTGTCCAAGTTGGATAGCTCTCGAGACCTTGTTGTTGACAGTCCCCTAGGTAAGTAGAGCTTGGTAGTAATGGGATTCGCTTATTCATGTGAGGTTGCTCTGCATATTTCATATTTTTTTCGTAGTAATTGTAGCAGGATGATGGTAATTGTTGGTGATAAAACTGACTATTTCTTTGATTCTGTACATTTTGTTGGAAAACTGGGCTATGATTATAAGGTATTATCGGCGTTAGATTTGATGGCTGAAAATAAATTGGTTGTTGAGATGGTGGTAAAGAAAAAGGAAATGGACGTTGATCAGAAAAGGTTGAAGTTGAAGGTTTATGATGGGATTCACCACCCCATAAATTGGAATGAAATGAAAGAAATGAATTAGCTATTCCATCAGCTGGCTGACCATCTGCAGCAGGGCCTGGCTTTATACCATGTGATATAGGTACATATCGATCCCTGGGACAGTCTCTTTCAGTCTTCACCTTTTCAGAATTTTTTAGAAAGTGTTGTTGCAGGTGCATAACTGGGTCAGTGTTAACAGTTGCTCTCTTTTTATTATAGCTTTCAGATAATTTTTGAGTTAAATATAAAGGACCTATAAGAAATTAAAAGAGTACTTTACCTTAGTAACATCACCAAGCGCACGGAATTTCATGTTTTATAGACTTAGCATTGTGGTATATTGAAAGTTACCGCTAAAATTAATATGCAATGAAATAAAGCGTTTTTAACTCCGAGAGCGCTACTTGATGTCCTAATGCTAAAATTATTTAACTTTTAGAGTTCTAAAGAAAAATTTATAGGATAGTACTTTTCATAAACCCTAGAACTTATTAAGAAATAATAGTGAATTGGTTTCAATGCAAAAATAGTGCGATATTTAAAAAACGGCAACTTACCAGCTGATAAGATATGAACCGCAGGCGGGTCCGTGAGAAAATAAACAGTGTTTAAGAAAAACAAGGGGGTGTTTGCTATATATATCTCGCAAACTTTTGATGAAAAACGCAAATTTCTTATTACAAAAAAAATTAATACTTGATTATTTGTTAATGTATTAATAAATAATGTTATCTTAAATAAGTTTGACTTGACCTACAGACGACTAAATATTAGTTGTACGCTTATCTTTTTAAACCTTTATACATAATCAAACTGTACATTGGAAAGAGAAAATACAAATTTTTCTTAAAGAAATAACCAATAAAAGTATCCTAATCATTTCTTTTTCAATAACAAAATCGGCTTTTGTATTGAAAATTTAGTTACTAGGACTGTTGCCCCTATGTAACTATCTTAACTTTTTTTTAAACAAAGAAACTAAATCGGCAGCACTTTTTTTATTATAATAAAATATGTTTGTGGAACGCCCTTGCCTAGACACGTTTTCTTATTCCAGAAACAGCAAACTTTATAAAATTTGTATATTATAAATCAGATTATTCTTTACTTTAGCTTTTAAGAGAGTAACTTATGTCATTATATTAATTTTTTATTCTAATTTATAGAGTCAAATTCCTATATATTCGAAATTTTTTAATTTGATATATAATTAAAATTCGCAATTAACAAAATATGAGAAAATATACAACAAATGAACAATAAAAAACAATAACTAAGTGAATACATACTGTTTTACACAAAACCTAGCCTATATAAAAGGTCACAAGAGAAATTATACTTTTTTAAAAGAAATTAAAAGAGGTCAATCTAGATAAGAACGCATTTAAACTTGGTTTGTTTGTTATCGTATTTAAATTAAAGCACGCCAATAACAGTGAAGTAGGGAATGAAACCACGCAAAGACCCCACTGAAGACCAAATCATGATTACACATATATACCCTCGAGCAAGTGCTTAAACTAAATAATTATTTTTCATTTTTGCTTATCCATTTGAAGTTATTGAAATTCAAGTTTTATACATATGTAGCTCATTTAATGCCCAGTCGTAAGCTCCTAATTTTATATCTATTTTTATAGTAAACTATATATATATTAGGTTTATAATCAAATTACAAAAGTTTTAATTGGCTAAAATGCATGCAAAATGTTATCACATATTTTTACATACTTCAGGTAAAGTTAATTTGATGCCAAGCTCCACTAACCGACTACAAGCCCTTGCGCGTGATCAGAGAGCTAGGTCCTTAAAGGCGCACCTCCCGAAAAGCGTCTCAGATTAAAAAGAGTAGGTAATAGTAATTAGCATAATACCTTTTCAGGTCGGATTAAGGTTTATGATCAAAAAAGCCCAGGAGGCTGTTCCTGAATACCCGTAATGCTGGTTAATTTTCATAAATTTGAAAATATATGCCCCTATATAATTTAAAAAATATTTTCGCTCTTTAAAAGGTAATCAGACAATTAAGAAGTTTTTTTTACTAATTTTAAATTATTTTGCAAGAGAGTTTAAAGGAACATTTGTTAACTTCATCTAATGTATAAGCTAAGCAAAAGTTTTATAAGGTCAAAACTACAACAGTTTAATTACTAGATAATATTTAACAAAGAAACATTGATTTTACGATACGTATTTTTGTTTTAATAATTGTTCTGTCGATTATAATATGTGGAAAGTACACTTATTTGTAACGCTATTACTTATGGACGAATACCCAAAATAAACATTTAATATCACTGATGTTAAATAACCTTTTAACTTTGTATATATATCAGTTCTAAGTTTAATAACTAGAATTTGCTGTTTACAGTTATTATATTTATATAGTATATATCCTATCTTATTAACTTATTAATAAATGATATACTTAATTAACTGATTTTTAAAGAAATGCTTTTTTTATAAAGCATGGAGTAAGAAAGTTCATAATTTCCCCAATCCCCCACTTCCCTACCCTCCCGTATATCTTCAATACTTTATCTCACCCCCACTTTTCTCTTTTCTCTTGCAACAGAGAAAACTTACTTTTTAAGGTGTACATTAACTTTTAAATACAATTTCAACCACTTCTCTTCAGATACAGACATGAATAAGGTGTTATTTATAAACTTTGTGGTTACTTCAATCTCTTATTTAAAGGTGAGGTTTGATAGGTTATTTAGCTAATTATTACGTCTGTTATGAGTCTTTAAATTAGTACCACTTTTTTAAAACTGTCTGTATATTTTCTTATTACTAAACCTTCTTCAACAGAACGATTGAATATAGCTACTTTTTAGAATATAAGTTCAGCCTTAATAATATCTGAGCTGGCTTTTTCTAGCTTCATTAAGGCATGCGTCACGCCATAGCTACAATTTTGTGGGTTGAGGCGTGTTTATTAAATTAATACCAACTCTTTGTCGAGTAACTTTAAGTAAATTTAAACAATAATTTAGTGTCACTACCTTAATAAATATCAGTTTAGAGTTTAACGAAATAACATTGTTTTGAATACGTTAAAAAACATAAATAAAAATGAAATGTTTCTGCTCTGTTTAAAAAATGACACATTTTTAAAAACGATTTAAAAGTTTTTGCTATCATTTTAAAACAGTTAAATATATTAAAACAGAAACCTGCTATTTATAATAGGAAAAAAAAAGTGCTTGAGGCTATTATATATATTTTTTTAAATCAATAACATTAAAAATGGGGCTGTGAGTCGATACGATGGAAAGCCCAGCAAAACAAAGTAGTTTCTTTCAGGTGGATTTTAAAGTGTAGATGTCACTATTAAAAGAAAGCGAAGCAGAAACTATTTTAATTCTGGAAGATCCGATAACTATATGAAAATAGTTAAGTGTATATTTTTTAAAAAAAAGAAGAGTTTTTTTAAAATCGCATAATTTACGAATCGTAGTCGCTTGAATGCTTAAAGTTGTTTCTGGAGCCAAAAGTCGTTAAGAGTGGAAAGAATAGTTGACACTACTTTGAATATTCGGTCATATAAGAGCTTTAGAGTAGTAATAAAATGTTTCTATAAAAAATTACTATTAATTTTGTGTGTTATTTAAGAGAATTTACATCAACTGAGGCAAATACATCATTTTTAGTTTAACATAGTTAGCAGAAATAGCTCCAGTACTAAAGTAATGTTACTTTTAATGATAGATGTATAAATAATGGCAAAAAAATACTTTTATTTATTAAAGTAATTGAAGTAAGATCAAAAATTTATTAATTTAAACAACGTGAAAGGAAAAATGCTAAAAAAGAATTAAGTTGTTAGAAAAGCGTCTATAGAAAGTCGTTCTGGTTATTTAACAATCTATTATTCTGCTTAAAAAGAAACTTTTGCGCTGAATAAGACCCACTTTATATATAAATTAAGTTGAAGAATTTGCTCTCTCAGTTGTCCTATAAACTTTTTTACTTAAATTTGTACAAAAATTATGCACAGCTCCCAAATCTTGCCAGCTGTAAGACAAAAGGTAAAGAAAATGCGTTGAGTACTCTTTCTTTTGCTGCTCGTACTTGTCTTTACTATATCAAGCTCGCAAATAAGACAGGATGTGACCACCCGCAGCTTTACAGAGTGGTTTTGGTAACTCTTGTGGGGCTGCTCGTATTCTTTCTTAAACCTCTTGAGTTCGTCTGTTAAGCGTTACTTTTTTATATATGTTCATATAAAGGCTTTCCAGTTTTGCTTTTTTCTTCACTTATTGCAGTGCACAACTCAGAAAGGGGCTCTACTTATACCTAATTCTTAATTTGCACTTCTGCAGGGTGTTCTGGAGGTTTCATTTTCAATCATAAAACTATCTCGTAGTTCTTATTTGTGTATAAAGTAATTATCCTGCCTTCACTAATTATAAAGGCTTTAAAAGTTTATAATTTTAGTTAGTCTTTAATCCCTAATATAAAGACTTCCCTAGACTAATGAACTGACATATCTAAAATTCTTAGCATATTTGTCAATAAGTGCCTGTTGGCCGCTCATTAGAGTTTTAGCAACCATCCGTCAAAGTTTATTTTTCTTCTTCTTTTATAAATAGTTAGTATACTAAAGATTAAGATATGTTAAACAAAAGCTTCGTATAGCAATAACAGTGCAACTAAAGTTGGTGCAAAGTAAGTTCGTTAGAACAAAAGGTTGGTTGAAGCGATATAGTTTTTAAAGTTGCTTTAGTTTCATAAACTTAGTTTAAGCATACCCGCCCTTCAACCCCTGTTTACAATCCCATTCTATCATATAGTATTTTATTACTCTATTGTTCATTTTCTACTGTCATGCATAATATAGGCAACATAAAAATAATGGATTTCCCGCGTTGCGATGCCTTGTTAGAATCAGATCCAGTCGGCATCCTTTCTTTGAATTATTAGGTCGAATACTTATAAAGAAATATATCTCTTATAAGAGGTATTATATATACTTTGGTCGTCCGCCTCTTTTAACGTGTTATAAGTTGGACTTAGCAGTAAAGCTCAGTTAATAATAGCTCTCGTTGGTGGCCCTATAATTGAATCTCATGCTTCAGTTGTCCTGCTTTTACTTACATCCTTAGTTTCAAGACGGAGTGACTAATAAATTCTCTACAGAGGCACTCTTTAAGATATACTTTTGTCCTTTAAAATTGTCTAATACACTTATAATCAACCAAGAAAGCTGTAAAAATTGACTAAATCCGCCTTTAACTCTCTCAAGTATTTTAAAGCCACAGCAACTTTTAAGTTTAACTTGGGCTAGGAGTTACATCCTACAAGGTAAATAATCGTTTTGATTAAATGTAGTAGAAACTGCTCTAAGTCTTCAACATTGGTTGCTTCAGCGCTTTTATAAAAAAACGGTTAGCAACTTTTTATTTTTATTACTTTTTTCCTGTTTGCAATGCTTCGCAACAGGCAGGTTTGAAAGGTTTACTTTACCTTCCAATAGAAATTTGTAAGCCCTCTTTTAATAAAGAATATCCCACAAACTATCTTCGCTATAAAAATGGCGATAATGAAGAAGGGGCTAATAGCTAGTCTCTTACCTTTAA